GGCTGTATCAGTCAGCTGCAAAATGTTGAGACGGACACATGCTGGGGGGTAAGGCAGCTCAGATAGAGAAGGGACCACCAAGTACAGGGTGCTAGGAGGGCCTGCTTGGGAATGGAGATGCGTGCTGAAAGTAGATTATAGACCGAACATGATGGTCACTTACTACCTCTATTGCAAACCACAACACTGAAAGGGAGAGAGAGAGAAGGAGCAAAAGGGAATGCCCTGCCACAGAGGCAGAGTGGGGTGGGGGTGGTGGGAGGGATACTGGGATCACTGGTGGTGGGGAATAGACTCCGGTGGAAGGATGGGTACTCGATCATTATATGACTGAGACGCAAGCACAAAAGTTTGTAAGCCTGTAACTGTATCTCACAGTGATTCATTAATAAAAATTAAAAAAATTGCAGAACCACACACACACAAACACACACACACATGCACACACGCACACACGCACACACACACACACACACAATGTTGAGATTGAATCATGCTTCACATTTAAAAACCAGGAATGTTTGTGTTAGAATACAGGCCCCTCATCTCTCCTGACACCCCCACATGTGTCAGTGCTGGGTCCTTTTTCGGGAAAGGCAGTCGATGAGCAGGTAGCAGCTGCTGTCTTCCCTCCTGCTTTCCCCGGGCATCTCTGTCCCTGCCCAGCCTCTACAATCAGACACCTGACCACTTTTTTTTTTAATTTAAAAATTTCTTTTATTTTCATACGGTAGTTCACATTACATTCAATATTTCAACACCAATCCCACCACCATTCCACCTTCGCACCACCATTATTTTGAATTATTTCAAATTTTCCCACCAGCATTCAAGCCTGTCTGCCAGGGGCAGATGCTAGATAATTTTCTATTGCTTATTATGAATAGCATGAGAGGTTGCTTCTGGAATTCTAAAATTGTAAATGGTTGGAGTCCAGAGACATCTCTGTAGGGAGGGAGCTAATCCATTTTGAGATTCATTTGGGAGTCTCTGGATCAAGGCCGTGGATGCACTGAGATGGCGCCAGGAGGCAGAGGGTGGGCATGACAGGAGTAAAAAGGAGTCACTTTTAGTTACCTTTTTTAGCACGTTACTCCTTTTTTTTTTTTTTTTTGGAGGGGGGACACGGAGTTGGGATCACACCCAGCAGTGCTCAGGGCATACTTCTGGCTATGCTCATAGTGACCTTAGGCAAAGCACCTGCATGCCCCAGTATCGAATGAGTGACCTGAAATAGAAGTCTTATTATGGAAATAGGAGTCTTATTATTCAATCTTGCTTTAGCTTTTGATGGTCTCTCAAAGGTTTGTGATTGCTAAAGTAGCCTGTTTTTTTCTTTCTTTTAAAAAAATTTCTTATTTTATAGTATGGTTCACAATATTTGATTAATATTCAAAACCAATCCCATCACCATTACACCTTCCCACCACCAAATTTGGGGTGTTTCCACCCCAAGCCCCAATCCCTGTCCCAAAGCACAAACGAAATAATATATTTTGTGTTGTCTGTTATGGAAAACCATCTTAAGACGTGTTGCGGCCGTGCGGTCCAAGAATATGTTCACTGGTACATGAGGCTCAGCCCGAGCGTGTGGGGAATGGCCTTGAGAGTGGCAGCGGTGGGTTCTGGAGGTTTTCAGCTGCAGGGATGGGTCCCTTGGGGCTGGGAGGACTCTCACCCGCCCCCCTCTGGGGCGCCCCCAGTGAAACACCCTGGCATGGAGTGGCATGGAGTCCAGCTTTCTTGACAATTGGACCACCTGGGAGTTTTCAGGTGCTATTCCCAGCTCTGTGCTCAGAAGGTTGTTCCTGGTGGTATTCAGGGGACCATAAAGTAAGTGCCAGAGGTCACACCTGGACCTTCTGCATGCAGAGCATGCATTCAGCCATTGGAACAATTTCTCTTTTATTTCTTGAGGACCCTTCCAAGCAGTGCTCTGGAGACCCAAAATGACTCCAGGAGGGCCCCTTCCAAGGATTTTCAGTCAACCAGGCTAGTAGTTCAACGCTGAGGCCCAAGAATACAGGCAGTTTGGGTTCTGAGGTATTAGAGATTAATTGGGCTACACTGGCCGTGATCGGGGTGTCCAGTACAGGTGGCAATGCTCAAGGATCCCAGGGCTGCACAAGGCAATGCTTGTGGAGGGTGGTGGTGGGGTACCAGGAATCATGCTAGGGATCAGATTGGGACTAACTGCATATAAAACACACACCCCTCTACTATCCCACCAGCTCCCCATTTTATTCTCAATGGTATGCAATAGTTGGATAGAGAACCTTCAGTGTCTCAAGGCAGAAGATCTGAGTCAGCAGCCAGGTGCAGGCTGATTGGAAGTCAGACAGACTCTTAGGCAGCAGCTTAAAACAAAAATAAAGTGTGGGGCTCTTTCCATGAGCCCTGCCGACCAAGGTATGGTCTTTGTTGGATTGGGGATGGGGGAGGGGGTGAGGAAGGGGAAGAACATCTGCTTCCCTGATGTAACTTTTTCATCTTTATTACTTTCTATGTATAGATCTTTTTTTTTTTTTGTTTTGGGTCACACACGGAGATGCACAGGGGTTACTCCTGGCTCATGCACTCAGGAATTACTCCTGGCGGTGCTTGGGGGACCATATGGAATGCTGGGAATCAAACCCGGATCAACCACATGCAAGGCAAATGCCCGACCCGCTGTGCTATCGCCCCAGCTCCAATAGATCTCTTTAGATGATGTTGTTTGCTATCTTTTGTGCTTCTTGAATCTGAATTTTTCTCAGATCTGGCAGTTTTCAACCAAGACAAAACAGACACACGTTCTCCTTTTTCTGGAAATTGTGTCATGTGAATATTAGTACTTCTTATTGACTCTCTCAAGCCCCCGGGTTCTCTTTGTTCCTTTTCATCCTTTGCCTTTGTCCCACCGTATTTGTTTTGCTTTTTTGTGGTGCTCAGAGCTTACTCCTAACTCTGCCCTCAGGCATCATTCCTGGAGGGCTCAGGGAACCTTTTGGAATACTGGGGATCAAATCAAAGTTGGTCACATGCAAGGCAAGTAAGTGCCCGACCAGCATTTGCTCCAACCCTAACTCTTCAAATCTAGTGGCTGTGTGAAGGAAATGAACCTCTTTGACAAGTTATGCTCCAAGATGTGGTTATCACCATTTGGTGATTTTCTGAGATGATTTCGTTCTGAGTGCCTCTGAGGAGTTGAGGGCATGCTCCGAGAACCTCTGGTCTGATCTGATTAGTCAGCACCTTAGGAAACTGGGCAGTGGGTTTTATCTGATTCCCCTGATGCTGAGTTCTATAACCAAGGGTGTGTCTTGAGAGGATGCGTGTATGTGTATGCTGGCCTGAACCTGCTTTGTTTCCCAGTCACTTGAGACAAGCCATGATGGCTCAGTCAGGTGAGAGGGGTTCTTTCCTCAGGTACAAGCCTCCAAAGCTGGGGCACTGAACATGTGTAGGGGGCTCCTTTCAGCAAACTGGCACTTAAGAGTGTACTGGAAAGGGCAAGAAGTATCTGCTCTTCTAGCATGCTAAATTATCCATCTCCTAGGCAACAGCATGAAAGTGCGTAAACAGACTGTTTCTGGGAAACTACATGGGAGTGATTCTGCCAGCTCCCGAAAGAATTTTTTTCTTTGTTATCTTGAAGGTTCAGGCTCCAGTGAGTTTCAGACTTAGATATTTGGGGGCCCCACAACTGGGTAGAAGTTGGCATTAGATGTGAGATTCAAATTCTTATTCTTGGGGGGAGAAGCTGTTTCCTCTGCAGGAAAAAGCTGGGACTTGGAGTTCCTCCCTAATATGAAGCACTATGGTGGGGTTGGATTGGAGTTCCTTGTTGAGTGTGTCAGCCTTTCCTGTTTTGACACAGGTATTATTTTCTTGTTCACCCATGTGTAGGAATGGCAGTTAGTTAGGTTTCAGATTTCTTTCAAAGAAAATTGCACCCTGTGTGCCTTCATTTAGTGTGTCTGTGGGAGTGGAGTTCAGAGCCCTTACTTTACTGTGGCTGGAACTGCTCATCAGTGCTCACCTTAGACTGCAATGCATACAATGGGAAGGAAATAAGCTGAAGAGGATAAAAGTGGGAGACAGCCATTCTGTTCCTTCCCTCATTTATTATTTACCTCCAGCTTTAGTCTCTTCACTCTATTTCACAGCACACTTTCATTCTGAAAACTCTAATATGAATCTGTTTTACTTTTCTAAGTCACTATTCGCCCACTGTTTCAGGCATTATTCATAATCTTCACAAATCTAGACAAGTTTTTACCTGAGTCTATAGTCTTAGAATCGAACCTTACTCCATTGAACTGCAAATTCTCGTGTTCAAAAATTTTTGTGGGGGGGGGAAAATATTTTTTTTGTGGGGGAAGTACCATAGTCTGTGCTATTACTGAAGTCATAACTGTAGGTACTTGTCTTTTGACCTTCTTCAAATTTGAGTAGTGGTGCCAGTCAGGTCCAGTGATTAAACTACAAAGACAACATCCAGAAGCATTCAAGTTACTTAGACAATAGTGGATGAACAATCACTTTTATTTGTGGGGAGGGGCCAGGTTGGGGGCTAGCTCCTGGCAGTGCTTGGCAGACCTTGTGGTGCTGAGGAAAAATTAGGGTAGCATTCAAGGCATACACCTGAACCCCAGGCTACCTCTCTGGCCCAACATTTTAAAATGCTCCCTCTTTAACTGCAAAAGACCGCAAGGTACGAACCTCTTAACTCTTCTTCTTCCTGACACCTAGCATCTTGGATCTGCTTTATCTTGAACAAATAGTAGACTTACAGTTGTCTTTACTTTAGCCATTTCTCTTCAACCTCTCTACCCTGTCCCTTACCTCCTTTTCATGTCTCTTTTTACTCTGAACTTCATTCATCTTCTAGTTAAGGCTTCCTCTGGCTAACCCAGAGATTCCCAAATAAAATAATAAAACCTCTAGATGAGACTTTACTTAACATTTTTGCCATCAATGTTTTCCTGGGGGACATAAGTGAATAATACTCCAAAATATACAGCTTATAACACAACTTTTATTAGAAAAGTTATACATAACATAGCATCAACTATTTTCAAGAACAATATTAAACCCGATAAGCAACAAAAACCAGACTAACAAAATGTGTAACAAGTAACTAATGACCTTTCTATAATCAAACATTCAATTATCTACAATGTCTTTTTACAAAGGGAGAAAAATCCATGGTTTACAGGCACATCATATTGAAAATAAAGCTGCAATAGCAATTTTATACAATTACCATTCTCAAAAAACGGAATCAAAACATTAATTACGAGTCCACAAATTTAAAACATTTCACATAATTTTAAGTTACGGGGTACACACAAAGGCTGTTTCAAAAGTGATATCTTTCCCCCACAAAAGTGCCAACACTTAAGCTAGAACTTTCAATCTGAGTAATTCTGCCCTAAAAAGTTAAGACATGATTTGAAAATCGTAGTCACATAATTTCTGGTGCTATCTGGTCCATTAATAATAAAGCCTTTATTTGGATTTTTTCTTCACTTAAATTACAGGAAACGGGATATAGGATTTGTTGCAAAGCTATTAAAATTTCAAACACAGGACTGTGCAGAATTGATAAGAGATCAGTACTAAAAACATAATAAATATCAGAGAAGCCATTAGTTTTTACAGCACTGTCTGCTTAAAGGTTAAGTTAACCAGGTTATATAGTTCCCCATCAGTTTGTCCTTGTCCTTTCAGTTGGTTCGCAATTTCTATTTTCATGATTTGAATATTCAGTATATCCAACATTAAAAAATCTTTGATTTATAGCTCCTGGAAAGTTGCTTTTTATAGTCATTCTATTCTAAAAAGTCATTATCTGCTCGTTTTTAGAGCTTTACTAAAACAGTATTCAGGACTGCAAGATTAATTATAAAGTAGTTTCAAATGGAATGATTTACAAAATAGAACAATTTAAAATCAAGTCCATTGTAGCTGAAGGGTATCAGTTACAATACAGTTTCACACATCCATATTCCTCCCCCCACCCCAACCTGTCCATTATGGAATTATACTTTAAAAACGTACTTCAAGAATACCTCTGTAGTTTGGGATACTCTCCCGAAGCACAGTGGTTGCAAGAAGATTGCCGGTGTTACTCACAGGAAAAGAATGTCTATCAAATACGCAGCATAGCATAGTTCTTACAATGTCATTTTTCCTGATACACTTTCTTTTCCAATGCAGTAAAGAACAAAGATTAAAATCCCAACTTTTGACTGCTACTCAACATTGTTACATGTGCTAATATTGCACACACTGGTTTTGAACTGGTTTTAAAATTTTCTGAGCCGGTGGGGTGCTTGTTTTTTCTTCACAAACAATCCACACAAGCAAATCCCTTAAAGATGAAATTGATAAAATACTGGAGAAAAAAAAAGAAAGAAAAGAAAAACACAGTGACTTTGTACAGACAAAAAGCTAAACTTTCCCCAAGGGTTTTGTATGCCCTACACATGGGGCAATTTGTACACACTAGTGAAATGAACACTAGCTTAATGCTTCTATCCGCTCAAATAATGTGGAACCTTGGTCCAGGGGTGGCGATGATGTCACTGTATGGTTCTTCCTGGGTAAGCTCAATAGCTTGCTGCTTTTTGAGAACTAAGAAACTGTAGAACTTCGCTGCAGCTTGTTTTCTGTTGGTGTTTCGACATAACTCAAGCAAACTTATAGATTCAGCTCCAGTTTTAGCAAGAGCTCGCTGAAATAAGAGAAAGAATTAAATGAATATACTAAGTACTAAAGACTAGCAAGTAGGGGTTGGGGGGGAGGGGCACAGCAGTGCTGAGGCCTCAAAAAATGCAGCAAATTTATTCCAGCTCTGTTACCTCCTGGCCCTAGAATAATTTTTAAAGGATACAGGTGAAAAAGTGTATGTACATTTTGTTGTGGTGCTGGGACTAACTTTTTTGATTCTCATGTCAATCCAAAAGGTAAAGGGATATTTTGTTTAAAAAAACCAAAGACTCACGAAATAAGCAAATCTGTTTCTGTTTCAAGAAGTATATTAAAACAACCATTCATTGTTCTTACAACTATCCGTTACATTTCAGGAAACTTTGAGGAAACTGACTGGTTATGTCACAGATACACAAAATAATTAGGCTGCATCTGATTCAGGTTCAAAGCTGACACTGTGTAATGACGGGACAACTTTACTCAGCACAAAAGTCAGATGACAAAGATAAAGGTGTTTCATAAAGCATCACCAAAGTTCTGCTTCCAAAATAACCATGTGAGAAGGAACAACTGGCTTCCTCTCGTCCTAACTTAACTGGTTACAGCATGAACTGTATTCTAAGTTAGCACTGGCGAATCTTTTATTTCTGTAAGCATACCTGAAGACCATGAAGCATTTGCTGAGTTCTCTTGTTCCATCTTCTTTCTTCTTGATCCTGATCACCCCCTGAGGCATCTTCATCCTGGATTTAAAAGAGAAAAACAAAGCTGTATATTCTAGTAGACAAATGCACTCAATGTTACACAAAAATTCAATTAGTAACTAGTATGTATTCAATCTACCTACATGCTAATATTTGAATATGATTCTACATTATTATTCTATAACTCCCTAATCTCATTCTGGAACAGTCCAAAGAGCTGTAGGCTAGCTCAGCAGTACTTATTTACAATGTTTTAAAAATGAACGTGGTGGGGTCGGGCATTTGCCTTGCACAAGGTCGACTGGGGTTGGATCCCTGGCACCCCATAAGATCCCCTTCACCCTTACCAGGAGTAAGCCCTGAACACTGTTGAGTGTGGCTCAACCTCCCCTACCCCAAAGCTCTGATGCAACTTGGAAGGTATTTTATGCCTAAAAGTTTAAACGTAGTATTTGAGGACAGAGAGATAACTCTATAGGCTATGCACACGCAAGCTTTACATGGCCAGCCCAGATTTAATTCTTAGCACCATGCAGAGGTAGGGAGCATGCTGGGTATGGGCCTAAAACATAAAAAATAATTTTTAAGAAATGTAAACACAGTATTTATCAGAGCATCAAACAGATCATGAATCTTAATCAACAATATCAATGATCCAAGAGAAAAACAAACCAAAATCCTTAAGAAAGAAAAATAAAAACCAAAATCCAGAGCAAATGTATGCCCCAGGAAAAGGAGATCCATTCCTAGAGCATCTCTAAGTTTTTTGGGGGGGCTACACCCTGTGGTATTCAGGGGCTAATCCTGGCAGGGTGCCTTTAGCCCACTGAGCTCTCTGCCTGGTCTCTACTGCTACTTTAGGAATGAATTTTCATTTCTAGTCATTCAAACATCAGTCACTCTTTAGCTACTGTACCCTACGGTGTGTCTAATTAAAACAAAGTCCACGCAAATGAGAAGCAATGAGCTGTGGAGCATAAAATGTCAGTGTTCTTTAACAATGGCCTAGATCAGTGTGTTTTCCAATTCTTTTAACACCTGCATATTTGTGGTCAAAAACCATTGTGTAAAACAGCAAAACCTTTTACTTGGACCGGCAAGAAACTTCTGGTGGTCCACTATGGTTCATGCTTGGTGGCTGGGAACCACTTATTCACATCACCAAGACTGTGGTTTAAGTCTGATTTCACTCTGTGGCGCTCAGTGTCAGTTAATTTCAATATAAAAAGTGAAAAAAAAAAATTGGCTGCTGGATATTCTTGTAAAATCTGGAATGAAAATTCATCCCTAAAATCTTTGTTAGAGTTCTTTACCTCCTCCTCTTCATCATCTTCTTTTTCCTTTTCTTTCTCCTTCTCTTTTTCTGGTAGAAGCTGTAACTCTGGAATCAACTGACAGATATTTGTAGGTTCTTCTGGGGGCAGCTCCACAGGAGGCATTTCCATCTGTTCTACCTGCTGAGGCTTAAGGCAATAAAAATAAGACAATTACAAAAAGGAGTTATTAAAGCCCCAAAATTAAAAATACTGAGAGCAAATCACTTCTCATAATCAATAAGCTGACAATATACCTAATAAAAAGTGTTATTTTAAGCTTAGAGTCTATACAGGAGAAATCCACAACACTAGTTGTGGATATAAATAAAACAGCAAAATACCACATCATTTACAAATTCTGTGGGAATATAATAAAAGCTTCAATACAAATCAGCAAGGTATTATTAACCAATACTGGATAAAACTCCCTATGGCTATTGTACCATAGCCTTTAAAACTGTTATCTTGTGCTCTCAGAGCTGTGGCACTCTTAAGGTATCAAGTAATACGGTGATTATTTTTCCAGGCTGTTCTATATTTCAATCCTCTCAGTTCATCACTCTTAAAATAAACCAAAAACATAAAGAAAACAATTACCAGAAAAAGTGCTGCTAAGGTAATCCATTCAACTTTACTGAATCCCACACTTGAGAATTCATAGACATGTTTTAGTTGATAACCCTCAACCAGAGGGCACAGAAAACTATTCCTTGAAATTCACTAAGTATTCTCCCTTTAGAGGGAGACTGAACCTTTGCTTCAGGTTGCCAAAAAGATCCCTCTTGCTGAGTGTATTCCACAGATATAAGACCGATAAATTCTTGTTTTCCACTCAATGCCTCTTTTGCAGACCACAACACCCAAAAGGAGAGAGAGAACACAGGGGATTGCCCTGCCACAGAGACGGGGGGATGGGGGGATGGGGGTGGGAGGGATATTATCCATGGTGGTGGAAAATGGGCACTGGTGGAGGGATGGGTATCTGATCATTGTATAATTGAAACCAAAGCACAAAAAATTGTAGATCTACAACTTTAAAAAAAATAAAATAAAATAAAGGGGGAAAAAAAAATTCTTGTTTTCCTTTAACTCCATTTAGGTTTTCTACTGTATACAAATTTTAATAGTAGTTTATTTGAAAGAAATAGATGTTAGTTTACACTTTCTCAGCAATTTTACAAACATACTCTATTTTATAAGGCAGCCTCTACTGGAGCGAGGCAGAAACGTTTGCTAAAGAGGAAGTTGGAAGAACCTGGATAAAGAGCCCAGGATAATGTTTGTATAAATACATACTATCCTACTATAAACAAAGCAAAAAAAAAAATGCACCCATTGCCAAAATTGTCATGTATGATTTTTGGCTTAGGTACAATCAATGTTGTATTATCATTAATCTCTTCCTAAAGAAAGGCCTGGTTTAGGGAAGAAAGTAACCATATATACACAAAACTATGATCTAGCATTATCGAAAAGAAAACAAAACCACTTTCATCCCAAATAGTAATCAGTACTCATATTAACTGGAGCACTATTTACAATCACATACACAGGAAAACAACCCAATCTGTCCCCACCTGGTTATTTTGGCAACATTAGGGAGTGCTTGGGGCAGACAATCCTGGTTCTATACTCAGGGAATCTTGATCAAATCTGGACCTCTTGCATGCAAAGCTATTTAGGGTGTTCTTCCCCCCCCCCCCCCCACACACACCCGTGTTAAGACTCTCTTTTCATTAGCATGTAAAGTCATCTAAAATGTACTTCTCAGGGTTTAACTTTTAACCAGTACCATATACTGCCTTTTCTTAATCCTGCACTGACATTAAGAAATGGAAAAAAAAAAAATCTTAAACCCAAGTTCAGAACCATGGATCCACATTAGTCACAAATGCTGGCTGTCGTCTACTCACAAACAAGATTTATACCATCTGGTAAAAAATTTAACTCCAGCTGTATTACCCATTCAAAATTTTTCAATTCCTGGAACACGCAGTCACATGACACCTCAAACTCTACACCACTGATAAACCAGGAGTACAACACAACATTGGATGGATGTAATTTAGAAGGCAAACAATACAGTTTAAAGAAAATATAAACATGGAGATATGGTGCTGCCAGCAGGTCAATCTGTACCTGTGAGGTGAGTGCATCAGCAGCCTGATGGTGCCTTCAAACTTCCAGATACCCCCAAATTGTTGCGGTGCCTTTGGCTAGACCCCAAAAACTTGGGGCAAAGTTTACCAAGAAAGTAAATGGCCAAAGGTTAGGTATGTGGGAGACATACCCACAAACCACCTCCGGCTCAGCTATATAATTGGAGGTATGGCCTCTCTGATTCCTGATCAAACTGCTAAACGGCCATAATCCCAGAGACAGAAACAAATCTTGAAACCCAGCGGCTTTTGGCAGAAAAGCACCTGGACCGCGAAGTAGGTTACTGTCACCGGGCCACACCAGGGGGGAAAAGGGTGCTATCCTTCCGCCTGCTCCCCCTTAGCAGCTCCATGGTTGCCATTTGCCAGAGGCCATAGGACAGTCAGGTTTGGGCCCACAATGACGAGACACACATGGATTCATGGGATGGAGGTGGAGCCGGCCCTTTCCCTCCCACCCCAAGAAGACCCCGAGTCGCTGCCAACGAACGGCCTCTCTGGCTCCTGATCAAGCCATTTAATGGCCATGATCGTAGAGACTCAGAGACAAATCGTGGAACCCAGCGGCTTTTGGCAGAAATGCGTCCAGTCCCTGCAGTAGGTTACAGGTGCTGGGCCACCCCAGGTACAAATAGGTTCCATGCCTTGGCCTGTTCCCCCTGGCGGCCCAGTGGCTGCCATCCTCCAGAGGCCACTGGACAGTCAGGTTTGGGCCGCAGTGACGAGACACATGGGGCCTCATGGGATGGGGGTGGAGCCGGCCCCTTCCTCCCCGTCCCAACAAGACCCCCAGTCGTCACCCACGAACAGCCTCTCTGGCTCCTGATCAAGCTGCTTAATGACCACGATCTCAGAGACTCAGAAACAAATCTCGGAACCCAGTGGCTTTTGGCAGAAATGCATTCAGACCCTGCAGTAGGTTACTGTTGCCGCACCATTCCAAGGGGGGAAAGGGTGCTGTTCCTCCACCTGCTCCCCCTAGGTGGCTTGGTGGCTGCCATCCTCCAGAGGCCATTGGACAGTCAGGTTTGGGCCCTCAAGTGATGAGACATGTGGGGGGGATCATGGGATGGGGCGGAGCCGGCCCTTTCCTCCCCATCCCAACGAGACCCTGAGTCGCCACCCACTAATGGCCTTTTTTGCTCCTGATCAAGCTGCTTACCGGCCATGATCCAAGAGACTCAGAAACAAATCTCGGAACCCAGCAGGTTTGGCAAGAAATCCTTCCAGATTTAATTGTTAAAATTTCAGAATTTCAAAATTCCACGGCCACTACTGCAGCCACGTGACATCATATGTTATTTATAAACAGAAATAGAAACAAATTGTCTACTGTTGCCTTTTTGGCAGATCTGAGTGTTGGGGTTAAATCCCAAATGATAATAGTGGGTCTGGTGTCAAAATATTGAAAGCTTTGTAACTGCTCTCACGGCGATTCAATAAATAAAATTATAAAAAATGAAAAAAAGAAGAAAATAAAAGAAAATATAAACACACAAAGTTTAACCTCTAACAACAATGATCTCTTCTACACAGGCTTAATGGCTCCATGGCGAGACAGAGACAACAATCTTCATACAGTTTCTTCTAAGGAACTAATTTTTGATCATTTTTAGAGATTTATTTTTAACAAGCAATATAAAACACTCATTTTCCCTCTGCCATAGAGGTAAGCTTGAGGGAAAATTGGAAACAATAGTGGTGGAAAGGTGCAATGGTGGTGGGATTGGTGTTGGAATAGTGCATGTAATAAATCACCATGAAAATCTTTATAAAAATAAATTTAAAAATAAACAAAACTTCACTCAAGAGTCACAAAGACCACAAAGTCCTAAGACATTCTTCCCCATTAAGGCACAGTATGTTCAATTCCTCAGTTGCCATTCTTTCTCTCTGGAACTGTGTCCTTTTCTGCCTGAACCAAGTCTTCTGAGAGCAGTACTGATCAGTTTGCTTTTACCAGGTATCGAAAATGTCTGAACACACCTACACATTTTTGATGGGAGAGATTTGCACTTACAGGCATCACAGGCTCTGGGTCAACTTGGCCTGCTTTCCGCTTGACTCCCTGAGGTGGCGGTGGGGGCATGGCCGACTCATCCAAGTTTGTCCTGCTAGTCTCCATTGTTGATTCTTGGAGGCGGCTTGGCTCTTCCAAAATGGGTTCATCTGCAATTAGTCATATGAAGAATAGATTTAGGAAATATAGCCTTACAATACTTCAGAACCATTTAGCTTTAATAGTCTATGTGTAATATACCATAGCTACTGTTTAAGAAGACCAAATATAGTTTATTTCCACATAGTCCCACCTTCACTCCAATGCAAGGTAATCCTCCAGATTATCTCAGCCAGTTCTAAACTTTAAACCTTTTTAGAAACATAAAATCTCAACTGTAATTAACAATATAAAAGGAACATTCCTGTCCAAAAATTGGAGTCTACTTCTCTATTTCTGAATTTACTTTGGCGTGTGTGTGTGTGTGTGTGTGTGTGTGTATGTGACAATATACTGTTAAAACCAAATGAGAATTATTCCAATATAACAGACCAATAACATCACGCTGTTGATGTTGCTGCTGTTGTTCCTCTCTGGGAACCTCTGGGTTTTCAAATTCTTTGAGGAACTCATCCAAATTATCAGCCTCTCCTCCTTTCCTCCTTTTCCTCAGGTCTTCAGGTACTAGTGGTGTAAGACAGCGTGTAAAGAGCTTAAAAAAAAAAAGGAAAAAAAGAGAAAACTCCAATTACAAAATAACCACTGTAAGAAAACCCACAATTGTAATTTTCATATTTCATAAGTATGTCATAATAAACAACTGCAATCAGTATATGTATTCAGCATGATTTGCAAGAACACTAGGTCATACTCACAGTGTCCCATCTCGATCTTTGAAATTTTAACTGTATAACTTTAAAAGTTAAAAATACGGGGCTGGAGTGATAGCACAGCAGATAGGGTGTTTGCCTTGCTTGTGGCCAACCCAGATTCAATTCCCAGCATCCCATATGGTCCCCTGAGCACTGCCAAGAGTGATTCGAGTGTAGAGCCAGGAGTAACCCCTGTGCATCGCCAGGTATGAACCGAAAAGCAAAAAAAAAAAAAAAACAAAACAAAAAACAAAACAAAAACCCCAAAAATGAAAACACACACACACACAAAACCAAAAATATTTCTTTTTTTTTTTTTTTATTAATTTATTTTTTATTAGTGAAACATCATGAGGTACAATTGTAGACTTACAAGTTGTTGTGCTTGGGTTTCAGTTATGCAATGATCGAGTACCCATCCCACCACCAGTGCCCATTCTCCACCCCCACCAATCCCAGTATTCCTCCCACCCCTCCTATCCCCCATCCCACCCTGCCTCTGTGGCAGGGCACTCCCTTTTGTTCTATCTCTCCTTTTGGGTGCTGTGGGTCTGCAGAAGAGACACTGGGTGGCAATCATGTTCTGTCTATAGACTACTTTCAGCATGCATCTCCCATCCTGGGCAGATCTTCCCAGCACCCTTTATTTGGTGCTCCCTTCTCTATCTGAGCTGCCTTTGCCCCCGGCATGTGTGGCTGGCTTCTAAGCCATGGAGAGAACAACCTGGTTGGTATCTATCACAGCTGCTCTTGGGTGCTAGTCTCTTATTTTGTTACTTTATGTTATCCAGATGAATGCAATCTTTCTATATCTGTCCCTCTCTTTCTGACTCATTTCGCTTAACATGATACTTTCCATGTAGTACCACTTGTATGTAAATTTCATGACTTCATTTTAGATGTACCAAAGTTTCTTTAACCAGTCATCTATTCTTGAGCACTCAGGTTTTTTCCATATTCTAGCTAAACAGTGCTGCAATGAACAAACAAGTGCAGATGTCACTTTGACTATACTTTTTGGCCTCTCCGGGGTATATTCCCAGGAGTGGTATTACTGGCTCAAATGGAAGCTCAATTTCTAATTTTTTGAGAGTTGTCCATACAATTTTCCAAAAGGGTTAAACCAGTCGGCATTCCCACCAGTAGTGAAGGAGAAAACCAAAAATATTTCATTGCTCTATATCAGGGATTTGTTTTGAAGAGATTTCACTGCAGTTCATTTCAATATTCATATGTTTAAAACGCTAACCCCCTTATTATACTATAACCAGAGCGAAGGACATCCTAAAAGGGCCAGAGTAAACGCCTTGCATGCTGAGTACAGTGACATCAGTACTATCAGGTGTAGCTTGGTGTCCGTCAGAGTAACTACCACACCCGAACAAAGCAGCAATGCCAGGTTAAATTATTAAACCTTCAGGCCTGCAGATTGAGGCTGAGTATCACTGGGAGTGGACCCCTTCGGTCTCCTCGGCCCTGCTTGGGAGACTCCTACCCCCCTCAGAGGTATAGTCATCTTATTAACAGACTTATCACATAATATTCAACTGAGTGGAGACACACACTATGTATCTCACACCAGAACCTTTGTTGGTGTTACTTAAGGTCTACGAGTTAAAAACTAAAGTACTTAGGAGCCAGTCTCCAAATTATTATGACTTTGCTTTCAAGAAACAGTGGTTTTACAGCTGCCCTGCTAATTTAAAATACGTTAGAAAGCTGAATTACTTCTAAATATTATTTCAGCTTTATTCAGAATGATAGTCTAAGAGTATTGCTTCACTCATCAGATAAGAGGCCTCAGAACACTGTTCTGGAATGATCTAGAATTAAACTGAGTAAAAAAGAACCTATAAAGAGCATTCTTAAAAAGCCAAAATTTTATATTGTGGAGAAATTAATGGCACCCAAAGTTTGAAGCAAAAAGCATATTGGTATTAATAAAGTAAAAAATATTAAAAATGCAAATCTAAAGTACAGTATGCTCTAATACAAACATTTTATAGTTTGTCATAGGGATTTTCGGGGGAGAAATTATTGCTACTCTTTATCCTTTGGAAATACAGGCGCCGCTGACTTCTTCAGAGAGCAGGTCATATTATAAGGAGAAGTAAAAAGAAAGTATTACATAGTTGGAAAATTCTAAAAACCCCATTACCTTCAGTAGTCTGTTATTCCACAAAGGCTGAGCAGGTAAAGAGAAGAGTTTTTCAACTCCTCCTGTTTCTTTCCACATCATCAATTTCTTGGTAGGTGGTGCAAGATCCAAAGTAGTAACAATATCAGAATAATCACTAAGTTGGGCTCTAATTGTCTTGCTATCCAACTCTTTAACACTGTCAACAATTAGCTTTCTCTTCCGCTTGGCTTTTGTTTCTTTGACTAGAAAGATAAAAGAAAGTAAGGTCATTATCCTGAGGGGCCAGCATGAAACTTAACAGCTACTAGGTCCACACTCTTTTTATGGTTTTCTACAGGCCTAGTAAAGTTAGGCCTCCTGAGAGCACAATCTTTTATGAGTTAGTTCCCCAAGCATCATGTAGGACAGAGGTTGGCACATACTTAACAGCGACTCATTAAGAATTTGCAAGATGGACATGCATAAGCTTAGTATAAAAGTGGTCGAGTTCAATAGATGTCTGCCAGGTAGCTCTGAGCTATAATGTGGAAAATATAACTACTGTGTTCTGGTACTTATTTGCTGGTGTCCTATTAGAAAAGTTAAGTTCAGGCTGAAAGAGCGAGGCCAACTAATGAGTGCAAACGCTGCATCAGGAGGCCCTGATTCTGCCTCTGCGCTGCAAGGTGCCCTACGCAGTCAGGAATAGCTGACCCCGCTTCCGAGTTAAATTTCATCTTATTTATTTCATTTTTTTCATTTGGAATATGGCCAACTACTTAGGGGGTTACAGAGTACTTTTAGCAGAAATGATAGAAATCTAGAGGTGGCAATTATACAAATAGTGTAATGAATAAAACAAGCCCTGAATCCTAGATATATTCAGGATATAGTGACATTATACATTTGGATTTTTTTTTCACATTTTTATTTTGAATCCCTACCACTATGTAAAGTAGAAAGCAATATTTGACCCTTTAAGATACAGGAAAGGCCAAAACTGACTCAGGAGCCCACCTGCCGGCATGGAGAGGCTCTGGGTTCCTGCTCTACTTTGAGAGCGTGATTCCTGCCTGTGATTCCAAGCCACAGGGAGTGGCCCCAAGCAACACTAGGTGAGGCTCCAAACCAAACAGATAGAGAAGAGCTCTTGGAATTAAAGAAATTCCTTCTGTCACACGCTACACTGTATCATATTCTTGCAGTTCAAGATTACAAGACATTAAACACCTTCTGTTCAATTTGTCTTTCAGTCACCAAGTTCCTTTTCCTCAAATGAAAGTTCTTATCCATACACCCCAGCAAAGCCTGACTCTCCCTATTTTACATATACTCTAATCCCCCTCCGGCTTCATTTATACCTTTCAAATACCTGTAATTTAAAACTATTTATTTTAGTTACTCATGTTTCCCTAATTTGTCTTTATGTTCCACAAGGGCAAGGATTTATTGTATTATTTCCTAGGGTCAGGTTATAGCAAGCTGTCTTTATAAAATAGAAGTCCAAGTCATAACTTGATTTTCTGGGTTACAATTTGTTTTAGGAGAATCATTTGTCACCAGGGATAAAATTGGCTGTTGACTGTGTGCAAGGCAAGCACTCTACCAGCAGGTTATCTCTCTGGCCCGAAGTTATAGCTTGGTCAAATTCTAAGAAATTTTTGGAAAGTTGTCTTGTTCTAAAAATTGTATTGTGTTCCTCATATATTCTACCCCATTATACCACAAGCTATCCAGAAACTTTAATACATCGACATGACAACTAAAATTACATTCTTTACCCAGAAGCAGTTCCGGTGAACACTACTGCCACGTTTCTTAACACTAAAATGGGGAAAAAACTGTATAGTATTTGATTAAGTTTAAAAGAAAGTCATCTCTAGATTTTCCCAGATTGTGGTTAATCATTATACTTGACTGCAAAATGCCTGGCATTATTTTCTAAATTTTACAGTTGATACTACTAGCATTTTGAAAAACCTGGAACTACGATACAAACAGTTTGTTAGATATTCAAACTAAGATACATATTAGCAGGAAGTGTGTTCTATACGTTTCATTCTACTAACTTGTTTTTCCAAGTCAAATTTAATTGAATAAAAATATGACAAAGAACAAAAAAAGGAGACTGAAGCTTAGTTACCTAAAGTGATGTTACTTGAAATGACAGCAGAGATTAGTGGACAAGAACTACAACTAAGATGTTATGTTTAAAAAGAATATTTTTTTTTAAGTAAAAAAAAAAAAAAATGTGTTTGCTCACCAGTGATATCAATAGGTTCTAAAGCAAAGGCTTCTTCCTCATTTGGAACAAGTGTTGTTTGATCAGTCATAGTTGGCATTGGTTCAACAGGATCCACTGAGTCAGGACTATCAGGTCCACCCACTGTAATAGAAATAAAAGTTTGGTCACAAAGGACAAATTTAATAGATGTAAAATGAATGGAACTGGGGACTAAGAAGCCCTGAGAATCTGAAAGAAACCCCATTACTACTAAGAAAGTAACTTCTTATAGTTTATAATCAATGTCTTTAAAAGCTCAACTCTACTTGCTAAAAGACATAGGGTTTAAAACTATAAAATAATTACAATAGTAAATCATACTGCCTTAAGGTCTATAATCACTAGAAGCTTTAACGTTTTGTTTTTGGCTTTCAGTTTAAACAGCTTTTTTGGATCCCATACCACCACACCCAGATTACCAAACACGCTATGCTTACTGGATACATTGTCATCTTCATCCATATCATCATGTGTTGGCTGTTCAGGTAACATGACACCCGTCTCAGACAGGGCAGGGGGATCATCAAAGATGCCACCATCATTATTACTAATAAGTTTGTCATCTGAAATAGGAGAATAGAACTTAATGATTATTTGAAAAAATGCGAAAATAGTAGCAAATTCTGGAATTAAAGTCTATCTTCAAGACAGTAAAAGATAAACACTAAATATATATGAGAAAAATACCTTATTCTTATTTTCTACCTCACATTTCTAATCTGTACACCAAATAGCACCCCACTTTCTCCCCTTCTTTTGGATTCTTGGGCCTCACCAGGCTTCTGGCTCTGTGCTCAGGGATGATACTCATGGTGGCCTTGGGGGACCACATGGCATGCCAGGTCTCAAACCCACATGCAAGGCAAACACCCTACCCACCATACTATCGCCAATTTTTAAGAGTTAATAAAATGAAAAACTGAGACAAAACTTTAACTGACCCACTGCTCACAAATCAGACACCTATACTTAAGAGAGCTACTCATGCCTCAGAATTATTAACTGCTCTAAAGACAACTGGGGGGTATACTCAGTGGTACTGTTCGTGTCTTTCACTGAGGTCCGAAGTTCCATCCCTAGCACTGCAATTCCTCCCATCAAGAAAGCAATCATCTTAGAATAGTCAGTGACCTACCTAATATGCCACCATCATTTCCTTCTCCAAAATTGTCATCCTTATACTGGTCTTCATATTCTAAATGGTTAATTTTCTCATTCAAATTGCTGGTGCTCTGTTCAGGTTCTAATAGGAGGTTAGAAGCACTAGTGCTTACTAACATGTCATCATCTTCAAAAGCGCTGCCTTCTCTCATTATCTCACGATCATCCATTCCAAAGTCACCTAAACAAATTTTAGTCATTAGTTGAAAAAGGAAACATCACTGTTACAGAAGAAAACAGCTAATGATTATGTCTCATTTGCTACCTAAAGTTTTCATATCTAGTTTAAGTTTTAAATACTTAGTACTAGTACTTATATTTTAAACGGATTCTGGAGCATGCTTAGCAATTCAAACAGAGCTAAATTGAAAAAAAAGTAGGTATAAAATGCAACTGCTCAAAGGACTAGCTTAAAAATAAACTCAAGCTGAGATATCTGTTGGTGCATAGAGATGGCACTTTATATACTGGTTAAGGATACTCTTTTGCTTATGAAAAAGCTTTAGATACAATTTTTGTTTTACTGCCTTTATCAAAGTAATCAAATGCCTGGTCTCCCTTTTTCAAATTCTTGGTAGTGTTACTACTAACACATGGTAATCAAACCACTGAAGCTAGTCGTAAGTATTTATTTCTCTTTACCAAAATCATTTTCTTGCAGGATACTGATGTTCCCAACTTCTTCTCTCATGGTTATCTCTTCCACTCTACTCTGGTTAAGGCTGAACTGCTGGGCCACATCGATGTCACTTTAAAGGAATTTCAAATATATTTTAGTCTCAAACCTATACTTTATTCATAAAGAAAAAAAAAAACCCCAACCAATTCTATAAAAAAAAAAATACACAAACTTACCAAGGTTTAGAAACCTTAATACTTAATAGTAAATAAGAATCAGAACAATTTCAAAGTTAATCTGTATTAAAATTAAAAACCATCCACAAGAAATATAACAGGTTAAAATTGCTATAAAGCAAGATAAAAAAAACCTCAGAAATGGACAGGCTATACAGACTCAGACCCTGCTGAAACTCACAGGCTGTGTGAGTGACATGTGAAATTACCGTGCCTTCCTGATATTCTTTTTGGGGTTAACAAGTAATAAACTTACATTACTAAAGAAAATAAACAGAAAAAGTATTGCTAAAACGCCAATCTGGAATATCAATAGACAAAGTCATAATATAAATACTTTAAAACCATCAAGCTTGTTCAATAAATAACAAAGAAAAATAAAGAGGAACAGAGAACTGTTATAAATTCTTGAAAAACTTATAAAACATACCAGTGAGATAGTAAAACAAGACCCCTTTATCAGTTGGGATATCTGAAACAATCAAATATTTAAAAAAAAACTTTAGGGAAGAATAGAGATGGAGTGTCTTGGACACTTTGGTGACAGTGGTAATGATATTCACCAATACTATAAACATCAACACCACTGCAATAATGTTACTGAACTGTAATAAATTTTTAAGCTGTTACTATTTTGAAAGATTAGTGATGTTATGGACATGTTATTTCTAAAAAAGTATACATGGATGAAACAAACTTATTTACTTTGAGATAATATAAAGGGGGGGTGGGAGGTAAAAGGACAAAACAGAGATGTAACAAAGCTGGCACTGTACTGATATAAACCAATTTATGTTTCATTTAAAATATCAATCCCTTTTCTTTTTGGTTACAAAAACATTTCTTTAATAAGAACTGAGAAAAAAATGGAGCATAAAATAAATAAAGCAGCTAGATACAAAACAAACAAACCCCCAGACTTTAATTAGGAATAACTTCTCCTTAGAAAAAGCAGAAAAATGTCAAAAAATAGAGGCTGCTTGGTATATGCTCCTCACTTGATCACTTGACTTCCTCTTAATCATCAATTTGCTCAAGCGGGTGCCAGTAATGTCTCCATTTGTCACAGTTGCGTGCTAGTGTAGCCCAATGGCGTCTCTTAGTTCTAGGAACACAAAAAGCCTCAAACCGATCGTTCAGCATCTTGATGAAGAAGTCTGACCATCTGGTAGGTGGGTGGCCATGCGGTCTTTTGACATCCCGTGGAATCCAGTCAGTAACGGCTCTAGTCCAGCGGTCGTCTCCAAATTACGAGTCCAGCCCACCTGATTTTCAACGCCTTGGCAAATGAGACAGTGTCCCTGATTCTTGACTGTAGGAAGAGGCCAGAACTCTGGGTTCTTTCTCTCATTTGAGTGAAACGTGATACTCCAAGTATAGCTCTTTCAATTCCTCTTTGGGAGACCCAAATAGCATTCTCATCTTCTTTGCGTAGGGCCCAGGTCTTTGAGGCATATGCTAATGCAGGAAGAACAGTGGAATCAAAGAGATGTGGCCGGAGCCGGAGGTTCTTCGTCCTCTTAGCTATTTCTTCCAACGCTCTTGAAGGTGTTCCAAGCCACTCTCTTCCTCCAGGGCAACTCAGGTGCCAGGTCATTCGTCATGTTGACTTCTCGAACTAGGTACACATAGCTGTTGCATTCGGAGATGGTTGTTCCATTGAGAGCAAATGGAGCGTCAGGAACGAGACTGTTTCTCATAAACATTGTCTTCGTGAGATTCAGCTGTAGTCCGACCTTTCCACACTCACGGTCAAAGTCGGCCAGCATTTGTGCAGCTTGGCTAATGTTTGGTGTTATTAAAACAATGTCATCAGCAAAGCGGAGGCGGTGTAGTTGCCGACCATCTATCTTCACTTCCATTCCTTCCCATTCCAGCCATCTCATGATGTTCTCGAGGGTGGCACTGAAGAGTTTCGGTGAAATGGTATCACCCTGCCGAACCCCTCTCTTGACATCGATGATCACTTCTTTGTAGAATGGTGAGATCCTGGTAGTGATTCTGTAATACAGCTCACGAAGGATGCTATGTACTGAGTTTGAATGCCCCGATTGGCTAGGGTTTCAATGACCGCTTCCGTCTCAACAGAATCAAAGGCCTTCTTTAAATCAATGAACGTTAGACAGAGCAGCATCCTGAACTCCCGAAAAACCTCAATGAGCTTGGTTATCGTGTGGATATGGTCAATCGTGCTGAATCCTTTGTGGAAACTGGCTTGCTTGCATGGTTATCCTTCATCTAGTATTCTGCTAATCCTATTGAGGATGACTTGAGTGAACAGCTTGTAGATAACAGAAAACAGGCAAATTGGGCGATAGTTGCCAATATTGTGGATGTCTCCCTTCTTGTACAATAGTACAGTCCTGCTGGTTTTCCACTGGGACGGAACCTTGCATTCAGATAGGTAGCGTGTGAAGAGCCGAGCCAGCGTAATGATGAATACTGACAGCAGGTTCTTCAGATGTTCTGGTCTGACCTTGTCTGGGCCAGGTGCCGTTCATTTCTTTACCGACGAAATGGTGTGTTGGATTTCGGAAGGGAGAACATTGGGAACGACATATCCATCCTGTGGAATTTGGTATGTTGGCAGGTGGACGTGGCTATCGAAGAAATTCGAGTCATGGATAATCTTCTCCATTGCCCTTCTGGAAGATGTGATAGATCCATCAGGACGTTGGAGGGCAGTCATCTTGGTCTTGTAGTTGGCGAAGGACAGGCGGGCGTTACCAATACTTTCCCCAGCTTCTGCTGCATCTACCAGCACTTCTGCTCTTCTCTCTCTGAGGTCTTCCTTTATCGCATCTCTGTACTGCTCTGCGAGCTCGGATGCTCCAGGACACATTCCGGATGCTCAGGCTGAGACTCAACCAGTAATTACAATGGGTCTCATATGTTCCTCAATCACTTGGAAAGTTACACTCCTGTGGTAAAGATAGCTGTATTTCCCAACCCTCCACCCTGGTTTCTGAGCCACAGCTGAACCACACCATACAGGATGCTGGGCAGTTTACCATGTGCAAGGCAAGCATTCTGTACCTACCCACTGATTTTAGACATAGCTATATTTCTCTATTTTTTTTTTTTTTTTTGCCGGGGATGAGTGGGGCATGTGTGTGCACACCTGTGATCCTCAGGAGTAAGTTATTCCTGGTGGTCCTTGGGGAACCACATGAGATGCCGGAGACTGAACCTGGGTTGGTGGCATGCAAGGTGGCGCATTACCTGCTGTACTATCTCTCAGGCCCATAAAATAGCTGTATTTCAAAGGGCTGAGGTAAGACTAAACAACCAACAATGGTATTCCGCTATCACTAACATTCTCTTAAACGTATGTTTGTGTTAATTTTAACGACATATTTATTAAAAAAATGAACAAAAATTTTGGTGGATTTTAGCGTGATAAAATAGACAAGCAGACAATAAAAATATACTTCTGAACAAAAATTATAAGGCACATCACTGACTGTGGTGCTCCCATTCATTCCCCAATCATGAAGCATTAAAGGATGCTGCTATCTTTTCTGTCAAGCCAATACTTCGGACAACTGTTAAGTCTCCACATTTTCTAGAACAAACACAACAGAATTCTTATCTGTTCAAGCCACACCTACATGATTTTCTCAGAGAAAGAACACACACGTTCCATCTTTCATATTTATATACCACCTGAAATAAATAATTAAGCATTTCAGCTACAGAAGAATTCAATGTAAAGTAACACAAAGAAATGAGACATTTGGGGGCCGGAAATGTCTCCAATATGAGCAGGGTGTTTGCTTTGCAAGTGGCCACCCAACCAGGTTCAATTCCCAAGATCTAATGGTGCCCCAAGAACAGTAGGAATAATTTTTGAGCGCATAACCAGGAGTAACTGTTGAACACAGCTGGGTGTGACCCAAAAAGAGAAAGAGAGAAAGGAGAGGAGAGAGACACACACAGAAAGAGAGGGCAAGAGAGAGCTTGAGAGACATTAAAATATCAATAGCAATTTTTTTGCAAATCAATAATTAACTATGAGAGAGACATACTCTAAGTCAGGCAGTGGCTGATCAAAGTCGTGAAATTCTTCTGGTAAAGTAATAGCATTGTAAGCAGCTTCTCGATTTTCCTCAGGCAAGTCAACAACACCTGGCAAAGAGAAGATAAACTGAAGGCCCAAGGCTAAACCACAAATCATCTAGCAATCAAAAGGAGGTAAAGTGAATATAATATCCTAAGGTTATGTCTAAGACAGTTAATCAACAACCCACCCCCCCCTTGAAAGACAATAAATATCAAGTTAGCAAGATATTTAATGAGTAAGAGCCCAAATAGCTGGTTTTTGGGGAAAAGTTATTTAAAATTTCTTTATACTTTTCAAGTGGTCTGTAATATCCATTGTCTAAAAACTAATGCTCTTACATAAAAGGCACTTAGCAGAAATCAAGAAATGACATAATATCATAGTTTATGTCTAAACATATTTCAAGGGCTTTTTCTTGGGGGGTTGGGGGGGCTGAGAGGAAGGACACACTTGCCACTGGGGACTGTATTTAGGCATTCAGAATACAAAAACATTCAAAAGGGCTGCATTCAGTCAGTCTGAGGAGCTGTCTCTGGCCTTAAACATTTTCTGAACAAAATTTCCGATCTCAAGAATTTCCACAGAAATGACTATATAAAGCCTCTCTCTTATAGAACATTCTAATTAGAATAAAATTTCACCAATGCCTTTAAAATTATGGGATACAAAATTCAAAGGCTTCTGTAATTTTGTATGCAAATAAATGTTTGGCCAAAGAAGTTTCAGAATCAGATATTACCTAGTCCACAACAAAGCTACAGGCCTTAAAAGTAATCTGATTTCAGGTGTGGGAGATGGTTCAAAGGGCTGCAGCAGCTGCCAGCATGCAGAGTCCTGATTCCACTCAGCATCACTGTATGGTTTGGTTCTGCACCACTGTCCGGGTGGGGGAATCCCATTGTTCAGCCAGTTGCAGCTCAAAAATCCAAAATCAAAGATAAAGTTGTACTTTGATATTTGTTTTATTTGGGGGGCCCAGCCTGCAGGGTTCTGAGACCAAATGGGATGCTGGGGATCAAAGCTGTTCAAATGCATGCAAGGTAAGTGCCCTATCCACAGTTGAATGGCTCCAACCCTGATAGTGGGAAGTTTGATTTTTACAATACACTAAAATTCAGGAAAAAAAAAATTCTAAAAATTTTCCTGAGCTATTACATTGAAAAATTACATAACACTTTTCAACTTTTCAAACTCTGATAATCATTTCCACTGGGGTGCTGGAAAGAGGAGTTAAAGAATGCAACTCCTAGGGAAGAAGCAAAAAGGGAGATTTTTTGTAATCTTTTTTCATAATTTTTTGTAGAGGTGAGTTTTTTTCCTTTGAACATTACCTTTCTAAGCCTTGCCCAATTACTTACTGAGTTCCTTGAAATGCAATAAAAATAAAACATGCTGTAGATTTACAAATTTTTGTGCTTGGGTTTCAATTGTACAACGATCAAACTGCACCTCATGGTGTTTCACTAACAAAAACTAAAAAAAAAAAAGTAAATGATAGAGAATGGGCGTTCGATCATTGTATAACTGAAACCCAAGCACAAAAATTTGTAAGTCTACAACTGTACCTCATGGTGTTTCACTAATAAAAATTAAAATAAAATAAAATAAATAAAACACGCTGATCTAGTCTAGTCTATTTACCAGTTATGCATGAACATAAGAAACTTTAGATTTAAAAAAAAAAATCACAATACCTGGCCGAAAAGCCATCTTTATCTTAATGAAAGCTTCATTACAGTCTGCAAGGAGATATTTGGCTTTTCTGTGATAAATTCGAACTACTCCCAGCAAGAGATGCCCTGATGTTCGGAGAGCCATCTTTACCTGTGAATAAATATTCACATTAATCTAATGTAGTTAATGTTTTTAAGAAAAAAAAAATCACATCTCCAAACCCTGATTTTTGTGCAAGTTATAGGCAAATTTTACTTTTATCTTTTTACATAATTTACTTGTATGTACCTGATCTTTATTTCATTTCTCACCTTCACTTATATATTCCAATTTCTAAAAAAGAGAGTGGCAGTAATTCACAAATTAACACAGGTGAAAAGGTTACTATAATACATGTGCTAAGGCATTTTGTGGATTGTTATCAACCCACTAGAGAGGAGGTGGCATTTTGGTTCACAATCTAGAGTCTCTGTGCTCCCTGTTTCTAATTCTTTTTTGGGGGAAGTATATGTTTCCAGCCTTGAAAACTGATCATCCCATCATCTCATCCTTCTCTGCTTATGCCTGTTCTTCAGTGGACATGCGACCCAGTTCAGCCGATGAGTGCAGGTATATTCAAAAGATTAAGAAGCACCCAATTAAGAAGCACCCCCTTTCATGCTCTGTGAGTAATAACACTGTAACAAGGAGGTATTAAGTATGAGAAGCAGCCAATATACTAAGAAGGTAATTCCTTAAATGGCATCACTGTAATTTCCCGATGATGCTTAAGTTCTTTCCATCTAGTTTTTACTTTACTTGACTGCAAAGCAAAGTAACATGGTATCCTCACTCGTTTCACCAGAAAATAGACCCCTCAGCCTTTTTGTTCTTGCCTGAGAAAGATCAGTGCTTATGGGGTATGCAGGACAAGAAGAGGAAGAACACCCAAATCAAAAGAGAATAAATTCTAAATTCCTCCAACCAAGAAAAATTCTTTTCAAAAAGGACAACAAACTCAAAAGATTCTGAGTTTTTTGGAGTCATAACATTAAACCCAACAAATTCCAAGGTAGCAAAGAGTTGTTAAATATCTGCTTGAAATTTAAATTATGATTAGTACATTGTGTTACTTGAATAGCAATATTTTAAAGTTATATAGTGACTTTTGACTCCATTTACAGCCACGTTAGAACATGAATTATGAAGTTTGCTGCTATAAAATAAATTTGCGATCAAATTTTGGAACACATGGTTGCTGATTAGAATAATCCATTAAAACATTCCTATTACAATTGACTTTGAGAATGGGGCATAAAAAAATTTAAACTCAATATTGAATGAATTTTTTTCCCAGAAAGGAGGGGAAGAACCATCAGTTTTCCTTTTTTCCAGAATAAGCAACGTTCAAAAGGAGATTAGGTAGCTGTTTCTCAAAGTGAGGGGAATAGAGCCTTTGGAGGGCACTGGAAAGATACAGGGAGGGGAGTAGCAGCCAGAGTCTCAAGTGCATTGTTTGTTCACTTAAAAGAGGTAAAATTTTAGGAGGGCAATGAGCGCCCCTGCCTTTTAAAATTGATTTTAGCTAAGAGTCTAGTCTATGAATAGGCAAAATGAGGCTGAACATTTTTGTGGAGCTGATATTAGAAGTACATCCATCTGGACAAAGTTCGGTAGAGACTGTGAGTGTTGTTCCAGAGCAAAAGAAAAGAAGATGAAGAAGAGAAAGGGCAAAAAAAGAGAACGAGTAGGGCAGGATGACATGTGGTTGTAGTCAACTGTTACTTGTTCTACAACCAAACCAACATATCCTTGTAAGCAAGAACTGGGCACTAAGTTCAAATACTAAAAAAAATTTCAAGCTAGGGAGCGGAAGTGCCAATACTGTGCAGAGGGCTCCTGCTTTGCACTCAGCAAGCTGGGCTCAATCCCTGACACCACATATGATCCCTGAATGCAATGCCAGGAGTGAGTCCTAAGTACTGGTGGGTGTGATCCCTACAAAACTAAAATTTCAGGTCAGTTCACCTTGTAGAAATAACATTATATTTTATCACAATCACAAAAATCGCTTAAGTGCAAAGAAACTTTTTTCTCATTTCACATACATATATAATTTTTTATATTATTTCCAAAAGATAAACCATGTTTCGATATCAGTGATCCTTAATTTTTTATCAGGTAGATGTACACTCTTATTTATTTTTTCAAATAATCACTGTGAGATATACTTATAAACTTACAAACTTTTGTGCTTATGTTTCACAGTCATACAATGATCGAGTACCCATCCCTCCACCAGTGCCCACTCTCCACCACCAATGATTCCAGTATCCCCCCCCCCCCCCCCCACCCCATCTCACCTCTGTGGCAGGGCATTCCCTTCTGTTCTCTCTCTCCTTTTGGGTATTGTGGTTTGCAACAGAGGTATTGAGTGACCATCATGTTCGGTCTATAGTCTACTTTCATGAAGCATGCATCTCCCATCCTGAGCGGGTCCTCCAAGAACCCTTAACTTGGTGGTCCCTTCTCTGTATGAGTTGCCTTCCCCCCAGCGTGTGAGGCCAGCTTCCAAGCCGTGGAGCAATCCTCCTGGTACTCATCTCTACTATTCTTGGGTGTTAAGTCTCCCTTTCTGTTATATTTCACAAGTGAGTGCAATCTTTCCATGCCTGTCCCTCTCTTTCTGATTCATTTCACTTAATACGATACCTTCTATGTTGATCGACTTGTATGCAACTTTCATGAATTCATCTTTTCTAACAGCTGCATAGTATTCCACTGTGTAGATGTACCAAAGTTCATATAGACACAAATCTTTTAGTGACATCTATTAATAATGTACAAACTATTTATCAACGTACATATAAAAGACTATTTCTGTAAGTACAAACACCAATACTATTTCCTCTTTAAATACCCTCAATATTTGCTTATGACCATTTAAGAAATAGTCACCTACACATGCTGCTTTCAAAAAAATTCCCTCCTTTCCCGTTCACTAATCTTAGGAAGTGTGCATATAAAATGTAGAAAATATATTCTCAGAATTTGATCAGAGCATCAACTGAGTCTCTTCACAGAGAAATATAAATTCATATTAGAAATAAGTGTGTAATCTGGCCAAATTATATTTCTATATTGTATCACTGTCACTCCGTTGGTCATCAAATTACTTAAGCGGGCACCAATAATGTCTCTATTTCTCCTAGCCCAGAGATTTTAGCAGCCTCTTCTTACTAGTCTTTTCCCAATGATTTGGAGGCTCTGTTAGGATCAGGGGAATGACACCTATTGTTGTTACTGTATTTGGCATATCGTACATGCCACAGGGAGCTTGCCAGGCTCTGCCCATGCGGGCGGGACACTCTGAGAGGCATAAATGGGTAGGAAGTGTCTCATAATGTATCCGAGAGGTCCGAAAAGTGGCCTGGAGAGTGGCGGTGATTGGGCATTGGAGTTCGACTGCCGGGGCTGGGTCCCTTACGGTAGGGAGAGCTCTCTCACCCGCCCCAAAGCCGGGCGCAGAGTCTCCTGAAACGCACCAGCACACCACTGGGGGCCGGTATTGTCCCCTTTGGGAAATTGCTGCTCTATGCTCATCCGCGTGCAGTGTGTACTGAACGCTTGCGGGGATTAAATAAAACCAATGTCAGCATATTCCTCTTAGCGCCCCACTCCCCACCACTCCTATACATCAATCTAAAAAAAAAAAACTTTAGGAATACAGCAATGTTAACTGAGTAAGGTAAAAGGTAAAGACCCTCCCGTTGATCGTCGATTTGCTCGAGCGGGCCCAGTAACGTCTCCATTGGAGACTTTGTTGTTACTGAGTCTGGCATATCGAATACTCTCGGTAGCTTGCCGGGCTCTCCGAGAGGGGCCGAGGAATCGAACTCGGGTCGGCCGTGTTGGCCGTGTGCAAGGCGAACGCCCTACCCGCTGTGATGAGTAATTCCTTAAAAAAATAATAATAAACCTGTAATATTACAGTTTGGAAAAAACTTTTTAGCAGTTTTTTTGTGTGTACCATCTAGACTTATGTGTGCACAAACATGTAATTTTTCTCCTCTGGATTTGAGTATGAAATAGTGTACTGTTTTATATACTGAGATCTGCACTCAGGATTTTTCTATTCATAAAATCATAATTTTTAATAGTTGTGTTATACTGGAATTTTGCTTAAATCAGAAAAGATCTCCCACAAAAACGGTATCAGCAAAACATCGTGTTCAACAACAAAAAAAATGGATAACAGATCAATAAGTCATTACAGGAAATTCTAGGCTTTTGGATTCAGAACTTTCTAGATTGTAGAGGTTATGCAGTGCATCTCCAGGAGCATCTACTGTGCAGTCTGGAAAGTGCCAATTGGGTAGGTTTACAAAGGTTAAGTGTCACTATCTAGAGCATCACTATCCCTGAAAAATCATATATATGATAACAGAGTAACAAGAGAGTATTTCTGAATAGGCCCCTGGGGGAGGGGGGAAGAGGTTGTTTTTTGACCATACCTAAGCGATGCTCAGGGCTTACACCTGGCTATGCTTAAGGGACCATATATGATGCTAGGAATTGAAGTGGGCAGACTGCAAAGCAAATGTCCTATCCACATGACTCTGGCCCCAGCGTTTTTATGAAAACATGTAATGATTTGTCCTGCTGTGAAACATGCAATGTAAACATACAAGACTTGAAGGCATACCAAAAAACTAGAGTTTATAAATAATCTACGATAGGACACCTCCTGAAGTGTTCATCTTAGCAACATTTTCAAATCCATATTGTATTACAAATAATGTGAAAATGTTTTTAGTAACAAATTCTGCCCATTATAAAACAAGTCAATATTCCATCAGCAAAACTTTCTTTCAAAGACAATTTTTTACTTCCCTACCACCATTTATTTACCTTGCCACTTTACTCTTCTAAACAAACCTCTGCTACATTCCATTTTATTGCTTTGGGAGCCCCTCTCACTTTAAGCAATAATGAAACATTTTTTTTAAACACAGGCTAGAACTGTCCACTGTTAATTCTGAGAGTAGCTTCCAATGTTGGTTCATATAGCTGGAATCTGGAACGTTTTCAAAACAGGACGCTAGTTATGTACTGACACTAGTCAGTACAAATAGGCCTAAGGACCCTTTAAAACATAATGTAACATATACTTAAGAATTAGACAACTTCTTTATGAGATTAGTCCTTCATTTATTTTTTGAAGTCAGTGTAACTTTTTCCCTCCAACGAAATGCTAAAGATGTTGGTAGAGATAATTGTGTCTTAAGTTAATGGTCCTTTCTTGGCAACACAATCTACCCCATCACTGTTGTTGTATTTGTGAAAACCACTACTGCAAATTACAGTTGCAAAACAACTAGTTTCAGCAGATGTCAAAATCTAGGAAAAAAGCAGTAAGTAAGATATATAAAGTTAGGAAACGTCTAGAGAGACAGCATTTCGATGTTTAGGGGAGCAGTGCAAGAAATTTATCTCAGAAAAACATAGGTAAAAGTTTGGCATTTTTAAGATATAGAGTAGGCTGTGAAGAAGTAATGAAGCAAGTGGTATGGATACAACAGACTATACAGAATCAACTGCAAACTTTTCTAACAGAATTCATACTTTGTTGATGCTTAAATCAGAAAAACCTATACATGTTTGAATAAAAAAAAAAATCCAGGTCAAATATACAGTATTTGCAGTCTACATTTGACTTTATGCTTATCTCTAAGATAATAACTCCAAGAACAAAACTATCTATATGAGAAGAATTCTGGAAAAGACTATCCAACCAACACTCTGAATACCCTATGGGATTATTTTGCTTTCAATATACAAAGATGTCTACCAAAATGGCTGATTATAGAGTTCCACATTATTTACAAACTGGAAGAGGAAGTATATATTTATCAACACCATACATACCTTTGGTGAGATGATGCTCTCCACACTGCTCTCTAAGTTACACTCGAATACATGGGCTTTGGTTAGTTTCTTATCCCAATGGGCCGCCAGCCAAATTTTGGCCAGAGGCCCTCTTTTACTGAGGACAAAATGTGCGTAGAACATTGTTCTGGTTGACTATTAAACAGGAGAAGACCTGGAACAAAGAAAGGTAATACACTTTCAGAAAACAGAAGTATTAAGACATGCAAGAAACATGAAAATGAAAGTTTCCATTACAAAAATCCCAGTAACACTGAACTATGAAATTCTTGGCCAAAACAGGCACTTTATAAACCCAATGCTTCGATTCTGATAGGGCAAGAAAAGGATCTCAAACTTTTAAGAGCTAAAAGGAAAGGAAATGTCATTGCCACCCTATGGGTGCTAGTTTTTTGTTAAAAGTGAAAAATGTTATTGGATACCAAAGGGATAATAGGTTAATGCTTGCCTTAGTACCAGTACACATACTTGAACCCCAACACTGCCAAGAGTGATTCCCTGAGTACAGCGAGGTGTGTCTGGATCCACCCCACCCCCAAACAAAATAGTGAAGTTAATCAGAAAACTCTCCTTGAAGCTCTATCAAGCATTAAAATAATTTCTATTCTGATTATTGACTGCAAGAAAAACTTGGCTTCCAATCCAAAGCTAGAGAATATAGTCCTCAAGAGACAGAATGTCCAAGAACTTGGGCACAGATATCAATATGACAAATCTCCATTTTCAGAATCCTACTGAAAACCTAAGGTTCTCAGGTAAATGCTTATATACAGTGGCTACTTCATGGCAAGCACCAAGCTGACAAGCATTAACACTCCACCCAACATAAGCGGGTGGGCTGGCTCCATTTTTCAGGCTCCTCATCTAGAAAAGCTGAGGGCAAAAAGTATTTTTTTTTGAAGGCAAAAAGTATTTTAAAGGGAGTATTTGTATGTGCACAATTTAATTCTGAAACTTGAAAAAATTCACCTACATATAATGTGGGTGGGAGGGGGCCTCCCAAGCAGCGCTCAGGCTGGTTTGTGCTCCACTCAGCTTCTCTCGCCAACTGAGCACCACAGCTGCAGCAGAAGTGAGTGAAACTACTCAGCCCTCAGTGCAGGGCCAGCAGAGCCTCTCTGGTGATGACGGGGGATCATGTGGTGCCAGGAACTGAACCTAAGCATGTGGCCTATCTGTTGTACTATCTCCAACCCTCCTTACTTGTAATTTACTAATTTCAATACATTTAAAACACTGACCTGCATTATAAAAATAATAGAAATATATGATATAGTATTTTTCTTGCAGGAAACTAAGAAAACCAGGGGGTGGAGAAAGTGGTCTGAAAACTACAGGTATGAAAGTACATTAAATATGTAAACTGATCAAAGTTCTCTTATATAACATCTCTTATAGAGGATTTAAGAATATCTACGGGGGGGGGGGGGGCTGGAGTGATAGCACAGCAGGTAGGACGTTTGCCTTGCACGCAGCTGACCCGGGTTCGATTCCCAGCAACCCATACGGTCCCCTGAGCACCTCCAGGAGTAATTCCTAAGTGCAAAGCCAGGAGTAACCCCTGAGCATCGCTGGGTGTGACCCAAAAAGAAGAAGAAGAAAAAAAAAAGAATACCTACTGGTCAAGAAAGTTTTTCCTAAAATATCTATATCATATATTAAAGTCATGTTTTTATAGGTATTATGAAAAGATGATCATAAATACTTCCCTTGTCCAGAAATAGTTCAGAGGTGCCAACTACGCTTTATCATGTTTCACCAATGATTACACCTTACATAATGAGCACACTAAGAAGCAAAACTAAGACAATGACATCATAATGTGCATTTAAATCAGATATCTAATACAAATGATACAGAACTCCATCACCAGAACTCTCCCACTCATTATCCCTTTCACTCATCTGCCCCCTAAGTCATGGCAACTATCACTGTTTTGCACCTCCAATTTTATCCTTCGAGTGTTTTACAATCACATAGAATTGGACACATTTTGAAGTGACTTCTGAGACTCAGTAAAATGCTCCCGAGAATCTCCAAGTTGTGTCACTATTATGTTCTTTTTTTAATGCTGGATAGCACTCCATGATTGAATTACTACAATTTGCTCAGCCATTCATGTGTTGAAGGGCATTTAGTTTACAGTTTTGACTATTTCAAATAAAGCTGGTATAAATATTTGGTGAATGTTAGCTGTCATTTCTTTGGGACAAATGTCCAGACACAGTATTGCCAAGTAGCACGACAAATTTCATGCTTTTAAAAGCGACTATCAAAAACCCTAGTTAAATTATAGTTAGGCAGCATTTAAATTTTTCTAAGACAAAAAACTAGAATGGTTATTTGAAAAAAAGACATACATAACAACAGAAGAAAAGAGAACCAAAATATAAATCCACACAAATACAAGGCAACTTAAAACAAGTGGGTTTTGAGCAATAATACAGCTATGAAGGCACCTGCCATGCCTGCAGCAGACCCAGGTTCAATACACGGCACACCACAAGGTCCCCTAAGCTCCACCAGGCCAGGAGTGATTCCTCAGTGCAGAGCCAGGAATAATCCCCGAGCACTGCCAGGTGTGGTCCCAAAACCAAAACAAGCAAACAGACAAACAAAACACACCCAAAAGTTTCACCAAATGACACTTGGGTGACAGACAAAAGCAAATCAAGCAAAAAACCTAACCTTCAAAAAGCACAAAATAGTTCCTTAAACCAAATAAAACCAACCCCCACAACCTCAACTCAAATCTCCCAATCAATATTAAGAGAGAGAGTAAGAGAGAGAGGACACAACTGTAAAACTAAAATATCAAGGAAAAAATAACAATAAACTGGCTACCAAATTAAAATATTTGGGGCCGGAGAGACAGTACAGCAGGTAAAGTTGTTGTCTTGCATTATGCCACAGACCTGGGATTCCATCCCTGGGCAGTCAGTAGTAAGCCCTGAGCGCCACTGGGTATGACCTCCAAAACACAACAGAATAAGAAACCCTTTACTCCTTGAGATTCCCTGAGTTGAAGCAATGACAACATACAGGGAGGAAAGAAAACAATTACAGATCACCTACACTGTTAAGAATAGTGAACTCTAGATCACCCCCTCCCAATGAGAATGGGAAAAGAAAAGTATTTCTTAGAAGAGACTACACTACATGACAAAACAAAACAAAAACAAACCACCACCTCACCATAAATAGCTATGAGGAAAACAAGACCCAGAGATACACACATTGTAATCTTCTGAGCACTAAGGCATAAAATAGTGACAATACCAAATGTCAGTGGTAGTGAAATTATGAATAAATTTTAGTATGAAAAATAATCCAGAGCAAATCGGCTCTTTCATGTTTTTACAAAGTGTACATTTTAAAATAACTATTTAATGCACTTCTTCAAGGAAAAGCTAAGCCCATTCCCTCTAATGATGTACAGAAAACATGTATTAATCCATAAGGAAGAGATTTTGCAAATGTCAAAAATGGGAAGGTGGGGTGATAGTGGAAGAATAATTCAGTCACGTTTGCTACATCTCCATTTTTGATCACTTAATGGCACAGTTCTAAAACAGGTTTCATCACATGCCTGATCTTGAACTCTTCCTTTTAAATTTGAGGTTAAAAAATCAGATCAAATTTTGGACAGGAACTGAGTGTTGAAAGTAGGTAAAGGGATATACCTTATCACCTTTCAGTATCTGTATTCAAACCATGAGAGAGGGAGAGAGGGAGAAGTGCCTGCCATGGTGTGTGTGTGTGTGTGTCTGTAAACTGGGGACATTGGTGGTGGGAAATATACACTGGTGAAGGAACTGCTGTTGGAACATTATATGACTGAAAATCAATCATAAACAAGTTTGTAACTGTGTATCTTACTGTGATTCAATAAAAAAGGAAAAAGAAAAAAAGAATTCAGATCAAATAGTCTATGAGAAGATTAAATAATAACTCCCCCGGAATATCTTATGTCATCTAGCAGTATTTCAGAGATCAAAATATTTCCCCATAATAATCTACTATATTACAAATCAGAACTTCTTCTTCAAGCCTTGGAAATTTGTTAGAATGAAACTTAAGCTATCTCTAAAGCATGAAACTGCCTCTACAACATTATAAATAAAAACTGTAAGATTTTAAGGAAATTCAATATGGCAGTGTGTTCTTAGAAACAGTCGCCGTCACAGATTCCAAGATTCACTCCCGAAGATAGCTGTACTTCAAATAAAAAAAAACCTTAATATTTACCTAGAATACGATCTGTCACCCAACTATGTATGCCCTTAATAAAGAAAGAAATGGGATACATCAAGTGATCTACTATGTGATATGCGTAAAAAAAGCTAGCATTCAAGAAATTAAGACTGCTGGCATTTTCCAACAGGTGTTGGTAGTTGATGGCCAGCACTTCAAGTGCTAATCAAGAGTACCATGCCCAAAATATCCCAGCTATGCAGAGGCAGATTCCTAAATAGACACTTTCTTGACATGGGGTTTGGAGTGGGGGAAGTAAAGGGAGCTAAAGCTGAGTAGTGCTAAAATTAATCCAGGAAGAGCGAGCATGAGGAAATCTCCCTGAAGTATGGTGGTGCACCAAAATTGGCTTAACATTTAAATAAGAAAGTGTATTTTGAAATCTTTTTTCTTAGTAATATCAAACCTTAATTTAAAAAAATTACTTTCTGTAGGTTTTAAAGATTCCAAATTCTAATGCCCTGCCAAACAAAACAAACAAAAAAAACCCACTTTAGCAGAAAACCTTCATTTTTGTATCTCAATGCAGGGTAGCAATTATTTGATGACACTTTCCCCCTGAAGTAATGAAGTTTCTCACCATAAGTAACTTTTAGAATAAAAAAATTGTTTTTAAAGTGTGATCTGAAGTGGCTAAATACTGATAGTTGAGACATACATCATCGTCTCATGCAACTTCCAAATACTCATTGTTGGGGGCTGGAAAATAGTACAGTGGAGATAACTTGCCTTGCACATAGCAAATTCGGGTTCAATCCCTGGCATCCCACCTAATCTCCAGAGTCTGCCAGGAGAGATTTCCTGAGTGCAGAGCCAGGAGTAAGCACTGAGCAGTCAGGTGTAGTCCCCAAACCAAAAAATCCAATCAAACTAAAAATTCATCAAATGC